GATCGCTTTTCGACGTGCCCGCCGCAAATTTCCGAAGAACTTCGGCCTCGAAAGCACCGTCGAACGTGCATCCGGAAATACAAAGGTTTTACACCGAATCATAATTGTATAAAAAAAAGTCAATGACGAACATTTATGCGTTATCAGTTTTAGATTAATCCTTTTGCATTTGAGTCAGATTCCGTTTGCTTTCGATCGCGTCATGATTCACGTCGATCGTTTTGAGGACAATTTATTAACCGTGTTTCTGTCGGATGCGCGTTTTCAGACGCAGGAAACCACGACGAGCCGCGAAGGGCCTATCAGTCAAGTCAGATCGAGCTCCACGCTGGTGAGACGCGCATACAACTCGAGATCCGATCATGTTTGTCCAGCGAGCGTGCGGAATCACGACTCCGACTACGATCGTTCCTACAACAAGGAGAACTCGATCAGCTGCAGTTGCTACCGGACAAGAAACGTCGGCGAGGACATTTCGGAATTGCGGGACGAGTGCAGTGGCGGAGATGCGGTCGATACCGTGCCAAGTAGAGAGCGCGAGGAGTTTGCGTCATCGGATGCCGATCGTAAAAATGAATTTGTGAAATCGGTCGACCGAGACAGGTTCGTCCCTGTTTGTAACGTCTTGGCTTTGCCATGTTTTCAGTAAATGAACTAACGGTTGGGCTTTTTGTCCTGTTATTGCATTAGCTATTCGCATTATGAAAAGATACGACGTTTAAAAAATGATTCTTACCAAATCTCATAATGGAAAAGATGAACTTTGAACGTTTTACTTCTTAGGATCTTGCATAAAGGAGACAAAGCTGTGATTAATACATCTCGAGCTGTGTGGGCTACTGGTAATTTACTGGATTTTTAGTTCATTTTTCAGCCGTTGATTCGCTGAACGGACTTTGTTTAACCGTTTGATATTTTTGGCTATAAAAAGACACATAATTATGATGCTTCTCAGACTTCTACTTTTTTCAAGGAAGTTACGTAGTTTACGGCACAATAAAAGTGTAGTATCAGGTTGTATCTCGCCCTAATAAAATGAATTGCAATGCTCACGAAACATTTAACGATATATCAAGACACTGAGGCAAGCAGAACAAGTCATTATGATATCAAAATGATGTCAAAATGACTCCAAAATGATGATTAAAAGTCATTTTTCAAATTCCGATTCATTTTAATGTCATTTTGACATTATCGTGACTTGTTGCTCTGCTTGGGTATATTTATAATCAAATCTTAAGATATTAATCGTTTCCATCAACATAGAGTAACTTTAATCTCGATTTAACTTGCTCTTCATATTTTTCTAATTTTTAGAAAAAATGAAGAGTAAGCTGAACTGAGATTAAAGTTAATCTACATGGATAGAAATGGGCATAAAACTTAAGTACAATCTTAGTGTGTGACGAACCAATCACAAAGAGTATTAGCATTTTATTAAGACATTGCTTAAGACGGTCTTGAAATAAGAATCGACTACGAATATTGTGGCCTGGCTAGAGATTACCCCTAAACCACGTAATGCATACATAATTATAATAAATACTTCCTGAAATTATAATTAACACACACAATGCAGTTTTAGTCACTGAGAATTACCAATGACTCATGCGGCGTGGATGACAATTGCTAATGAAATTGGCATGGAACGTGTTAAAAACATCTTTCTTAAAATCATCCCCCTTTCGCGAATGCAGATGCGACGTAGCGTCGAGATCGACGGACGATAGCGACGCTGTCAGATCGATAGAACGGATCCCGCAATCCTCGCATCCAACGTCTTATCATCATTGTAAAGCACGCTGCCCGTCGAGACCATGCTCGAACGTGGATCCTAACGTAAATCCTACGTGCGACTCTGCGTCCTGTGAGAAGCACGACAAAGTCGCGTGCGGCGATTTTACGGGAGACAGGAGCAAGGAGCTCGCGTCGACAAGTTGTCACGGAACATCCATCGATCTTGGTGGCAATGCGGAAGAGGATATCGTTACCAGCGACACTCGGGGCCATAGTTCGGATGTCGAAGACACGTGGACGAGGGCGAATACTTTGACCAAATCTCACTCGACCCATCGGAAAATTGTAGATTCAACCTGGCGATGTCAGTGCGAGTGTCATCCGTGCGAAGATTCTATTCCGAATCTGTCAAGATCGTCGTGCGATCGTTGCCGGGATGAGTGCTACCATCGCCATAATTATCATTGCAATTGCTCCCATCGGCATTGCTGTTGTCCGCAACGCGACAACTTGTGCATAAATATCAAAGGGTTAATAAGAGACCTTTTTATAATATATTAGAGAGAATCTCCACACGCGTGAAGTCACGATGTTAAGAATAAATGTAGAAAATTAGGAAATAATTGTGTTGGACTGTTAAAATAATTACGTAGGAATCTCAAGCATGATGAGTAATGCAATAAAAAGTTTTGATATTCTAGCATCAATTCGAGCATCTTACATAATTATTTCGCTGTCCAACAAAATTATTTTTAGATACGTCAGCAAAACCGCTCTTTCTATGTAACATTACG